TGGGGGTCTTTTGGCTTCTTTTGTTAGCCTGCAATGCCCCATACCGGTCTAAGTGTCTGAAAGGTCGGTCGTTAAAGGGGAATTGTTGGCCTGGCTGAATAGGTGAGGTCCTCCGCTCTCCTGTACAGGGGCTGGGGCTGCAGGGAGTTGGACAACTTCGTCCGTTTCAATTTGCATGTTTTCAAAACAAAAACAAGGCTTTGTTGGGCTACGGTATAAAATCTGTAATGCAACGCTATTCCTGACATTTTAAATTGAAAAAACTTCTTAGATGGGAAGCGAAACATCTTCAAACTTGGAAATAAAGTCCAGTGGATTGTTTTTAATTTTCTGTTTTTGGAATGACTATGACCTCACTGATAATCTTCAATAGGCAAGGTTAGCATGGCTAGCATGAGTAACACAGCAGCCTTTGTGTCCACCTCCCAAAAATATGGAGATCCTTACTTTACCTTTTAGGTTCCCAAAAGGCATCATTTCTGAACTGTGCTTGTTTCACGGCAGAGGTTAAAAGCTCCAAAGGATATAGGCTTTATTGGAAGTCTTTCTCTCTCTCACACTTTCACAGCCTCGTCGCAGTGCAGATATGTGTCAACATGTTTCAAAAAACACTTTTTCCTTTCATTTCCTTTTATTTAGGTTCTGAAATCTATGTGCTTTATTTTCAAGTTGATACTGACAATGGGCAACTTTGACTCATCTTCACAAAGTAATAACACACTTTAAAAAGCTTTGCTGTAACTGCAGCCTGTTTAAATATGGGTGCGCTACCAGAAATGCGGATGTTTCCATTCAGAAAACAGGCCACATCAGTCTTGGGTGCCCTCCCAAAATAAAAAGCACTTTGTATGGCTCAGTATGACAGCAACGTTTTGCTTTTGCAGATTTTGCTAAAATGATTCATGGGTTAACCAGCAGTAGGTAGGAACAAAAACTGAACATATTCTCCATGTTGGTCTACAATCCCATTTGGCACATACGCTTTGGTCTTTTGCTCAGACTGGATCCTTCGTTTCATTTCTTAAAATGAACATTTATGGATCCGCTCTGCTTTAAAACTGCTTTCAGCTTTGAACTTCATCAGAGGTCTCAACATAGGGATTTTTCTTGACATGTTTTTTTTTTAAAGCTCATATTCTCTGTTTTTTCTCACATTTTCATCATCTTCACCCTCTCACTGCAGCAGCCCTTATTTCTACAAGGCTTGGCAGAAGAGTGGAATCCATGGCCGCCCTTAGAGCGTCCCTCCAGCAAGCTTCCTGCTGACATCTCATCAGCCCTTCTGTCTCTGTTACGTCCTTCTCAGTCAGAATCATCACCATCATCATCGTCATCATCATCATCATCATCACCGTCGTCTGAAGAGCTTGGGTCTCCGGTGCTGGGGTCTGAGATCATGCCATCTGAACTGTCAATCTCTATGGATGTCTCTGATAGGTACAGGTGGACAGCCCTTGATGGGTGGCTGGGATAAAAGACCAAGACAGGTAAACACAAACACAGGAGCAGGGTACAAGGTTAGCATCAGACTGGGTCGGCTTGAGCAAAGTTTGGAAAACATCTGTTCACTCATCTGGTTGGAATCCTTTCCTTCCTTCTGCATGTTTTTTTATTAATTTATTTTAAAGCCTGAATTAATCTTATAGGTAAGGATGGAAGCAAAAAAACCTTCCCATGGTGAGAATAAAAGCACCCTTTACAGAAAGATCTGAAAACCCAAGAAGAGAACCATCAGTTGCCCAAGAAAACACAGCAGATTGTTTGAAACAGACATCTGGCTATTAGATATGACACATAAAAAAAACTATAATACAAAAACATCAGTCATAAAGTGATTGGAAGCATTTATATTAGTGTGGAATAATAAAAACATTGAAAAATAGTCTGTTTCCAACAAGTGCTTACAATCAGGTATAGTTATTTAGTCACACTTTTATGTTATTGCAGCTATAAACAACACAGTAGCAGAGAAAAACACAGTAACACGACTTCAGTAGTGATTTTGGAACAGAACAGGACAGCGGCTGTTTAAGTTGTTAAAACTCCTGCTTTAATTGAAGGTTTTTGTGATGTAAAATCTGAGATCATAGTGAATCCTTTTAGCATTTATTCCATACATTACAAATTGAAAAAAACAAGTCAGTTTGGTGGGAAAAAAGCTGCCATGTTTTGATCGCATAATTGGGCACAACCTTTTTTTTTATTTCAGCATTCAGTTTTCTTTGGTAAGAGTCTCTGAGTATCCAACATATTGACTTGATTTTCTACTCTGTTATAAAAATTCTCTTTATCAATCAGGTTTATTTAATATCTAAATTCCGTTTGAGGAGAACCCAAAGATTTTTGACTAAACTATATAAAAAAACATTCAATATTTCCCTCATGGACAAACTTTTTTGTTGATTTTAATACGTTACCTAAAAAATACAATCATGCTTCCTCTCCAGCATTTAAACTCAGGGTTTCTTCATTCTAGATCAGGCATCCCACAGTCTGTCCTCAAGGGCCGCTGTCCTGCAGGTTTTAGAGGTTTCCCTGCTGCAACACAACTGATTATGATAATTGCAGTTAAGCAAAAGCCTGTTAATCAGCTTTCAAATAAAATCAGCTGTGCTGGAGCAGGGAAACCTCAAAAACCTGCAGGACAGCGGCGCTCCAGGACCGACTTTGGGGATGCCTGCTCTCGATAAAAACTCTAGTGCCATATAACAGTGATGTGGGATCTGGAGTCAACAAATCATCTCTATGTCATGGATTGTTTCTGCCCAGCCGCTGAATCAGGTTTAACCTGTGCAGATTGGACTAATCTGGTTCAGTGGGTGTACAGAACAAATACATGACATAGAGCTGACTTGCTGACTCCAGATTATGCTGTTTTTACCGTATATCCCTGAAGAGATCTCTGTTTCGTTTAAAAAAAAAAATGGGTTGCTTTTGTGCCGAAATGTGGACAAATAAATTTGCTTTTGTTTAATAGAAGATGGCACATCTGACAAATGGTTTTGGAAAGTTTGACCTGGATGTTTTCTTAGGCAGAAAGCTCTAACCCTTAATGCTAAAGCTTTTCCAGAGTTACAGACAATACAGGAGATTATCGTCATAGGTAGAACGAAACCAGTACTAACCAGAAAGTCCTGTTGCTCTTTGGACCATCCCTGATGCATTTCTATCGTCTTTTTCATCATACAGGGAGAGTTTTAAAAAAAAAATCTCCAGTTATTGGCAGCTTTTACTGCACCACTGAATATACATAAAATGCTGGGAATTTGTTTTGCACCCCTAAACCTGAATGATACTTTTGTCCAATATGACCTAAAGAAGACTGAATGCTGGAAATGAATCCAAAATGTTTTAAAGTCCTTAAGAGGCCTGGTCACGTACTTTGACAACCAATTTGTACACCAGTAGTATGTTCTTTTGGCTAAAATGTTCAATTTCTGTGTTTTACTTTTTTTTTTTCACTTCCCCTGTTTGTAAACTTCAGCGTTTTTAACTTTCAGTATGACAAGACCACATGACTGGATGTACGATGTTGTGCTTGTGTGTAATGGGAAAAGAAGGAAGTTATTAAGCCAAGCATTTCCCAGCAGAGATGTGAAAAGAAAGGAAAATTCAAGGATCATATGTGAAAATGCTTAAAACTGTTGCAGGTAACGAGGATAAAACACTGATGTCACCTGGAATGCAAAAGCAAAAAAAAAAAAAAAGCTTAATTAAAGGGGGAGCTAAAGCTTCAGAACATGGCAAGTTGATGGATGTGTCAGTAAGTGCTGCCAGCAGATGGCGATAGTGAGCAACAGTGTTTGCAGCCGCTTATGGTGAGTGGTTAAAATTTGTTTTGGGGCTCAAAAAGGACTAATAAATACTATTCGGACAAATGATTGTGGCGTTTTGCTTTATCCTTACATGAGCATACAGTTTTCAGCATTTTCTTAATAGGCAAAGTACGTGACAAAGTCTCTTTAAAGGGTCTGCATGCCTATGTGACCAGGATGCTGCAGCTTTTCTATTTTTGTTTTTTAGTGATTTTCTGTTAAGTTGTAAAGAATGTTAAATCAAATGGAGAAAAAAGCTGATTCACCATGATCTATACCTTTTTACCTAGCATCTCACTAGGGTGTGTTGTTGATTTTCAACATCCACCTTAAGTCAACCCCAGAGGTTAAATCCATGATTTAAGAAATTTTCAGGTGAAGCTTGGAAAGTGCTCAATGTTCCTATTGTTTCTAGAAATAATACACCAAACAGTTGTCATGTACTGGATTCATACAATGGGGCTTGGATTGTATTAGTCGGGAAGTAAACAGCAGGAATACACCATTGTTCTACATCTTCATCATCAAAACATTTACTCTGAACAGGAAATGTGGCTGGAGGCCCATTTACCCAAAACGGAAAAGAGGAACTGATAAAACAGTTGTTTCTCTAAAGAAATGAAAGGCGCATTAGAATTCTCTAGCGGCTAAGTAGCAATCTGGCTAAAGTTCAGTTTTCTATGTAAAGGCACATGCTTCAATAAATTCTGCTTTTTAACAGCTTTCTGTTACAGGTCCAAATGGGGGATCCAAAGTATGCCGTCGCATTTGGAGGAAGAAAAAGAAGCATCGAGCAGGAAAAAGAGCCCAAGAACCCAGAAGGGAGCACAGCCCTGATCCCCAGAGTCTCACATGGAGCAAGAGAGAAAGCGTGTGAATCTTCTGCTCCTCTCTCAGTCCCCCTCTCCATCTGTTACATTTCATCGGTCTTACCACGCTGTGGGGTCCTTCCTCTCTTTGCGGGGAGCCTCTTCGTCGCCCTCCAGCTGTCTCTGTTTGTATTTCCTCTTACATCTTCTGCAGGACATGATGATTATGAGCAAAAAGACCACCGCGGCGATACCAGCTCCGATGAACATGGCTAGTTTAAGAAGTTCGTTGAAAGAAGCTGTGACAAAAAAAAAAAAAAAAAAAAAAAAAAAAAAAAAATACAAGAATAAAAATGGGTGCTGGACATGAACAGAACAAAAGGTTACATTTATTAGCTGTAGGGTTCAGTCTTAGTCTGAAATGTTTAACGGCTGTAGAGGCCTGAAGAAGAAAAACTATTAGTACCAGATCTGCCATACATAATAATTTTAAATCGGTCTTCAACAGGGGGTCCGTGACCCCTAGGGGGTCCACGGAGGTACTGCATGGGGGTCGTAAAATACTTTTAGACTTTTTTTTATATTCCCCCCTGCATTTTTTCAACTAATTTATGTCTTTAAATCCACATTAACATGAATTCAACACACTTTAGTAAACAGATAAATGGAGGCTGAAGATGTCTTTCAGTCACCAATGCACACATTCAGCGACACAATTCAATTTTCAATTCAATTACAATTCTGTTTATTTTTAAAGCACCAATTCACAACACATGTCATCTGAAGGTACTTTACAGTTCACCAGATCAAAAAGTCAAATTGATTCAAAGTTTTCTATCTAAGGAAAACCAGTTGATTGTCTCAAATGCAATCCCTCACACTAAGCATGCTTGTAGCGACAGTGGAGAGGAAAAACTCCCTTTTAACAGGAAGAAACCTTCAGCAGAACCAGGCTCAGAAATCAGGAATCAGAAATACTTTAATAATCCCTGGGTGAAATTACCTTTCTTTCATTACTCCATCTGTAATAGAGTGACTATAGAACCAGTTTGATATAACACAATTTCATACAATATATATAATTAGGGGGTCCTCACTGCATCTCGCCTAAGTTTGGGGGTCCTTGGCCTGGAAAACGTTGAACCCCCCTGGTTTAAATTAACGATATCTTATCAACTTACTCTGCCTGCTAAGGCTGAGTCACTGTCTGAGACATGACAGACAATGTAATGTAGTCCCCTCACAGTTTTATACGGTGGCCCTGAAGTGCAAACTGCAACTACAAATCTAAAAGCGCAACTACATTAAGGAAATTGTAACTACACAAAGCAAAGCGCAACTACAGTAAGAAAAACAAAACTACATAAAGCAAAGCGCAACTAGATTAAGAAAAACAAAACTACATAAAGCAAAGCGCAACTACATTGAGGAAAACACAATTACATTAACCTACCGGAAAAGGTAGGTACCAGTGGGAAACATGAGACATCGCTGATTGGACGACGGCACCGTTTGACCCTTGAACCGGAAGTCATTCTGCCTGCTGCGGCTTTTGAAAACATGGATACTGACTGAAATTTCATGATTAGTCTTGAGCATATCCAGTATCACCTCGTACGTATGTCCTGATTCAAAATATTCCTGGATAAAGGCAGCTATGTTTGGGGCGCCGACAATATCCATTTTTTCAAAAGCCGCAGCTGGCAGAATGACTTCCGGCCCTGCAGTTTGCACTACAGGGCCACCGTAGTTTTATGCTCGTGAAGATTCCCAGTCATCCAGGTCATAGTCATTCCAAAAAAGTTTAAAAAAAAAAAAACTCACTGGACTTTGTTTCCAAGACCCCGTTTACACGATGGGAAAACGCAGATATTTCCCTGCAGTTTGACCTCTCGCTTACACCAAAGCCCCGTTTTTATTTCAATTTTATTATTTCTGAAACCTCCGGCCTAAGTGAAGATTTCTGATAACGTCTGTTATGTGCTGCCGTGGCAACAGGGATAAAAGTCACATTAAGTGCCAGAAAATCCTTAACATCATGATGTAAGCACCAGATGTTTACAGTTTTTTTGGCACTCAACAGTGTATTTATGCGGGTTGATGTAAATGAGAAGTTTTTTTGAAAACAATGTTGTGCTTTCCAAAGTGGCGGACCTGTTCTGCTGGTTCCATTTGCATGTTTTCTTTGCCAAAACAAGTTTTTGGGCAACCATATAAATCTACAAACTCAAGGTTAATTCTGACATTTTGAATCGAAAAAGCTTCCAGGATGGGAAGCGAAACGTCTTCAAATTTGGAAACTAAATTTGTTTTTTTTAACTTTTTTGGAAAGACTCACAGTTTTAGTTTCAGTAAAAAAAACAAATAAGTTTGCCCTGTAGAGTAACAATTGTCTACATAAAGGCATGATCCTATTATAATTTGTTCTAAGGCTTGCCCTTTTATCCCTTCCAAGGAGGAGGGAGAAAAACTGGGCTTTTAGGAAAGCAACAGACAACACTATACAGTACTATACTTTTTATTTGATTCTCCTGCATTGGCGATAATTAAAAGAGGCACACGTAGGTGGGAATAAAGCCTCATTCACAGGGACTACCCCATCTTAGCCCCAAATAGAAGCCTTTCTAGCCAATGCAAAAAATCCTGGTGGCTCTGTAGTAGCATGACGGACTGCCATCCTCCATCATCTGTCAGAAGTACAGAGAAAATCCATTTCTGTTACCTGAAAAAGGGTTACCTCATTAACGGAGTGCTCTTAAGCTGCTGACTGTCACTACCTCGACGCCAGAGTGTTTGCCAGTTTTGGGTACTCTAGCCAAGCTGAGTTTTGCTGAGTCAAACTGAGTTTTTGTCAACCTGAGTTTTTAATCTTGCTATTTTTTTTCTTTGCCTCTTGGCAGGAAGTCATCCTGCAATGTGGACATTTCGGACCTTCTCTCCCTGGAAGGATCAACTGAGCCTCAAACTGAGCTGGGGATTCAAACTGGAGGTTTGGATCCACTTTCCTCCAAGGGATCGTTTGAGTTTCACACTGAGCAAGGGATTCATCTGCACCACAGACCGTTCAAGTACCGCAGGAAATCTAAGTGGCAGTCAGTGTCTCCGTTCTCCTACAAACAACCGCATTCTGGGTAAACCCTGTCCGCCCTCCACCGAATGAAACAAACACTGGAACACCCGACAGCTGAGTCAAAGAGTCAACAGCTTTTCTGGAAACGTGAGTCTGCAAACCATTTCTCCTCTTCAAGTTCGAGAATCAATTTTCCAACTGAACCTACACTAACCGCAGTGTCTTCCCCTCACCTTTCAGTTCCGGTTGAGCAGTGTTCAGAGCAACACTGAAATCTCCACAAGCTTCTCAATAAACGTGTTTAACTTTTCCCTGGTCTCTCTGTATTGGTTTATCTGCATCTGGGTCCGAGACCTTGATAAAATCATGACAATTTCTGATGCAGCAAAATGGAGCAAAATATCTAACTACCCGCTCTGCAAAAAGAGTAAAGAAATGTTGCCGTATTTCTAAATAAAATAGTTGGTACGATCCTGAATGAATCCTCCAGTGTGGATCGACACATGGCACGCTTTGCCAGGAGTGATAGAGCAGCTGGGGGACGTAATCAGTGTGAATTAAAGTCAGAGTTAAAGGCAAATTAAAATGATTAGATCTTAATGAATTTATTTTTCTATTACCTGAAGGCTGCTTTTAATATAAAAAATATACAACAATGACAGAAGTGTTTGTCTCTCTTCATAAACATGGAAATCGATCCTTAAGACTGGGTTATGCTTAATGCACATAGGTTAGATGCAGAATTTGGACGCAAGCATACAACACTGCACAACGTCTGGAAGTAATGTTTTCTGTCATCCAAGAGTGATAAGACTTTCTTTCCAATAGTTATTATGACCCAAATCATAAGGGATGTCAATCTCAACTAATCCAAATTACTGAAAAGTTATAAACAAAAAAAGGTTGAGGCATGAGCAACAAGTGCAGGAAGTCTCCTGTATAACAGTTTAAATAATCTTAATTTCTCTAGAAGCAGAATCATGAATTTTCTAACCAAATCTGATGAGATCTGTCTAATAACTATTTGATTACAATGAAAGGTAAATGTACTTTGACGCCAGTACATTGCCAAAGTACCATTTTGTAGAATTTTAGCTGCTCACCTGTTGTGACAACACGGAATTTAATTTCGCCAAAGTGACCGTGGACATCAGGAGGATTGGTCACCTGGCAGGTGTAGGTGCCATTATAGGCAAACTTGACCTGTCGGATTATGATGGAGGCATCACCCCCCATGATATCACCAGCCCAAGAGATGCGCTTCTTGAAGATACCGTGATCAATAGGATAAGGTCGTGTAAGGTAGTAAAATATCTGCAAACAGAAAATAAGTATAGAAAATAAAAACAAAAGATTTCTGTTTTAGAACGAGAGGACAGTGAATAAGGACTTACTAACATGCATAAACCTTCAAATGGAAAGGCTGTCTTAGATGCTCCATAGAGAGTCTTATAACTCAGGACCTTCTCTCTCAGCTGAATGAGGATTGAAGGTGTGAGGTCTGCTCTCTTTTTCTTCACTAAAACACCACACAGATATATACAAACTCACCAATGTCCCAGCGCCTCCAGAAAGAGGTCTGAAGGTCCAGGAGATAGTGACATGATCGGGGTTGATCTTAGCCGAACTCTCAAATGTACACTTCAGGCGAGTATCTGTACCGTTGACCGCGTCAACTTCCTCAGATGTGTAGATACGTATCCCGTTGACCTGCAGCACTCCTGCAAGGGCAGACAGGAACGTCACATGCAGAGAAACAGCAAGACCATTTAGAAACAACAGTTGGTTCATGAATTTTAACTCATGTTAATTGACTCCTTGACTTTATGCAATGTACCCGGTGATCCTACCCGTGTCTACCTGCTGCTGCTACAAGGAAACTGTGAGTAATAGCAAAGAGGAAGACTGGCACAAATTTCATTGGACACATTATTGATTAATGAAATCCCCCTGAAATAATTCAGCAGTCCCAAAAACATTTATTTTCCAGGAGCATGCAAACACCATGCATATAGTGCTCAAGAAACACATTATTGCTGGTACCCTGCCTGGGGCAACTGCATCCAGAAGAAGCCCAGTGAAAACATATGCATGACGCTCTGGGGAGGTTTATGTGATGGCTGTCTGGGCTAAATCACCTGCGCTATTTATAGAAGGAGCCACATATTCTCCAAGTGGAAGGATGTCTGGCCTTATTAAAGCCGATGCCCAGGAGAAAAGTCAGTCGTAGCACAAGTTAGAGTAGTCAAGACTTTGTTTGCCATCATCTTAATTTTAATGTATAGAAGCTTTGCTTAATTAAGTAAATCCCCTTTCTTAATTTGCTTTAGTATTATTTGGATTTGTTAGATTTTGTGCAGTTGGATTATGACCAGATATGGATTAAAAAAGAAAAAAACGTCTTGGAATTTATTCCCAACTGTTCATCAAATACTATTTACTGGTAAAAAGTGAAACTACACGTCTTCAATGTATGTCCAGATGTGAAAGATAAAGGTTTTTCACTGTTTGTTTATCTTTTAGCCACGCAAACCGGGTCTCTTGCCATAACTTCCAATATTTGGATTAGTAAGACTTTTACGCTCAGAAAATGATCTTGATAGTTATGACATTTTAAACTCTGGTGGTCTCTTTCCGCACCACAAATATTTCTATTTGGTGCCTCCTTACAAAACACAGAACGGCAAAAACGGTAAAAAAAAACAAAAGGTTTTTATTCCTCTGATGAGAAGTAATTCTAGACATTCTTTCCAATGGCTTCCAATGTTACAGGCTATACAAGATGATCCTATTTGAGATGTTTTCCAGCAGGCTCAGTGGAGGACTATTTCCATCTCGGAAACTTTCTTGTTCAAAACCAGAAATGGAACTTTTAGTCGCAAAGTAATAAATGTAATAAACTGCTTTGCATTTTCAGACATTTTCTGTTTGCCCTTACTATTGTTTCCATTCATGCTGAAGACAAAAGCTTGCTTACTGTACTGCAGCTATGATTTTGCACCACATTTAACGAGAACATTGGGTCAAAAATTTCCGAAAATGCCAGTAAAGGGCTTTGCTTTTCTGAGCTGCATTTCGAGCTTCCTTATCAGTGGTTCCTGTAGACTGGGAGAAGAAAGAGAGAGAGGGGGGCCCCCCTTAAAGTCATTAAAGAGACCTGCTACTCTCTCATCGTCGGACCCATAACAGCACTCTGACAGCCTAATGTGTTTTAAATGAACATGAGGAAATCTGGCAGTAGGTCAAACAAGTGAGCAATACAGGCAAATGGAAAAAAAAATGTAAGAATCCTTTGAAGCTTTTTAAAATCCTGCGCTGTCCTGGATAAGCAGAAACCTTCTCTCCTCTTTGTCCAGCTGGCTGTCAGAAAGGACGCACTAAAGTCAGTGGATTAAACCGCCGCCATGCAGGATGTTCATTAGGATGATAGCATCAGTGCCAGCTCTATCAGTCCAGCCAGTAATGACTGGCTCTCTAGCCTGCATGCAGGTGTGTGTGCATTATGCATTAAAATCCCAGTTAATACATTCAAAGCACTGAATTAGAATCATATTAACTCTATTCCAGAAGATTTTACAGGTATTTTTGTAAAGGTTGAAGAAAGGAAATAAAGGACACAGAAGAATGGAGGAAAGTCAAAACCGTATTTAATTACACATGTCCAAAATATAATACTGTGTCTCATTTTGGTTAATAATGGCACCTTACAGCAGGTTTTACAACTTTTTATAAACACAGATTTTTGTGCTTTTAATATTAAGATCAACAAAAATATTAAATATTGAGATAAAAATTGGGTTTCCATCTGAGAGATAATTTAAAGTAAAACTTCAGAGAAAAGTGTTGATTACAAAATGAACTTAGGTTGAAATCACAGCTGCTGCAATAAACAACGTAGTCATTGCAAGCCAGAGGATAAATATAGTCCATTAACTTCAAATATTAACGATTTATTATGGCTGGGATGTTGTGATCAATTCCCATGTATAAATTGAGAGTTCATATTACAGCTTTTTAAACGGCCGCTATCAGAATAGCTGACTGTAGTCCAGGTTGTTTTCCTGTCTTTGGTTTTACATCAGATGGAGATTAAAAGTTGGCAGCTTCAGTAACACATTGCATAAAAAAAATAAATAAAAAATATCACCAACTATGATTAAAGAGTTTCAGCTACAACTTGCTAACTTAGTGGCGATATTTAGGTAGTAATGAGAGCAATATGTGGCCCAAAACAACAGGTTTTCTAGTTTCAGATGAAACAAAACCCTTAAAAGATGGTAGATTTTTTCCAAGAGCAAAAGCATAGAAAAAGATAAGATAAATAAACTGAATAATAACTGAATCTAATTATTTGCTGTATTTTATTGCACTGAAAATGTATTTTAGGCAAACATTCTTGCAAGAAATAAAGCTGGTAAATGATTTGTCTCAGAGAAATGGCTGTAAGGAGAATTTAAAACTAGATAGGACTTACGTTGTAGAAACTGTCATTAAGCTTCTGAGATAAGTCTCTCTAAACGTGCTGCAAAGACTTGTTTACTCCTGAGAAAATTGGCCTAATCTCTGAAAGATCTGCTCCTTAGAGATCACAACCCAAAGTCAAACACATTGCTTTTTACATCCTTGTTTAGAGATTAAAGAGCAAATGCAAGATTAGAGAACTAAAGATGTGAAATTCAAATTGACTTCAAAGCTCATGTTTACATCGGCCTCTTCCCTTAACTGCCATTAGAAAGAAATAACATCTGATTTCCATGTCCTGCCTTAGAGCATAAATATTCACAACACATTAAATAAAATCACCACAAATAATCTGCAGTGAACAATAAAGCAGAATTCCTTTCAACCAAACTGTCCTTTTACAGAAACTGAGCTGACTGGGAGTTACACTAAGATTAATTAGGCCTTTTGGAAGGAAAGATGGATGTTAGCAGACTGGCAATGCTTTCTGAACTCTGTACACTGCTTTGTTAATAATTTTTCCAAGTGGCTAAAAGTACACTAAACATTATTCAATCAGTCATTAGCAGGCACTAATTGACATGTCGTTACATTAGAGAAGACAGAAGGACCCAAGAATTTCAGTCAATTACTGAAAGAGAGATAAATGGGCAGACGTCTGTTAAATGACTTCTAACTAAGTGTTAATTTTGTTATTTTTTGTTATATAAATAATAATGAAAGGAAGAATAATGTGTCTGTGTCCTTTAGAATTAATAACTTTTTTTTGCCTATTACGTGTGCTGTTCTGTGTTTTCTTGTTGTTTCTCTGTCTAGTAGGAGTCACTAACCTCTTTACAACTGAACATCCTGTCTAGCCAGAGCTGACCACACCTTTCTTTATCACAATGCCTTCAGAGGAGGGTTGATCTGACACTTTTAGTCCCACAGCCGACTTTTCATGAGAAGGAAAGCCCAAAACTAACCACTGATTAAAAGTTATAATGTTGGGGATATTCTTTACTTTTTCAGAATGATGAGTTCATGATTATTTTAGCTCTTCATCAATGTAAAAAAAACAAAAAAAAACAAAGTATGGAACATGAAAAGAATG